TAATACGCTTATGTCTTATCAAGAGAAAGGGGTAATCCACTCTTACTCAAGAAAAACAAAGCTCTGATATTGTAAGTGTGCTCTTGTCAATCTGTCAAGGACAAAGACTCGATGAGGGAAAATATACACAAAAAGGCTATCTCGATATAATAAGTCAAAATATAAACAAGTAGATATATTAAAAAGAAACTTGAATGGCTATTGCCACAAGACAAGAAACTAAAGACTCTTGAATCTGGACTAGAAGCAAGAAAGGAGTTGACAAGAGTGAAGAAGCCTTCACTCTTGTCTCTATATATACTATCTAACTAGGGGCTACGTGGCGACGTTCTATAGGACCTCCAATATGTGTTGACTTTGTAGGACACATGCCTTGACTTACAAGGCAAGTTTTTCTACGTGTGGGCCACATAGTTAGCTTGATCTTCAAGCTAACAACATGTGTGGCACATGGCCAACTTGTTGACCACGTTTCTAATCCAAAAAGTCAATTAAAGACACCTATGAAGTCAAAGCAGCGTCTAGGAAGTTTCTAGGAAGCTTCTATATTAAATATTATAGAATTAACTTACTTTTATCTACTTTTACTTACTTCTACCTATTTCTATATGTAATTATTAGCTTACATGATTATGGCCATGACAGTCATTCAATACAACCTAAACCTTATAAAGCTCATACAAAGCCATTGTCCATTCAAACCACTATTAAAGAATGCTTAATAAAAATCTATTAACTATTTTTATATGTATTTTGGATAGGCCTATCTAAAATTATTACAAACACTTTATTTTTTTTAATGATAACATTAAAAGTAATAAGACATACAGATATTATATATAAATTCAAAAAGCTATTAATTTATTGGTTTAACATAAATACTTGTATATATTATTTTAAAATATACTATCATATTTTTTGATATCTTTATTTCAATTTTAGAATTAAATATCAAAATATTTATAATAAAAGAAATTAAAGATAAATAATTTATTTTAAGTAACTAAAAAAATAATTATAAAATTATATAGATTCAAAAATCATATTTATGGAATATTTTACCTCAATCCATGTTTGATCTATTCAATTTTTATATTTTCAATATTACTAATGAAGTGAAATAAAATCTTAATAACATACAAATGCTATGATTCTTCATATTACAATAGTTATTTTTTTTTAAAGTAGTTTTTGTTAAAGAAGACTATCTGAAGAATAATCATACTACTTTCAATGCATAAACATAAAATTTAAGAGAAAATTCATTTAGACTGTAAATTTTTTTGTGGATTTTTTTTTATTAGCACCATTTCTACATGCTTATACAATGCTATAAACTAATCATGAATGATCTTTAAAAAAAAAGCTTTACAATTAACTTGTAAAATATGCAATATAATATAATTTTAATTTTTATTTCTACAAATAAGTTAAAACTTTGCATATTCTCTTTTGTATATATAATAAAAATCATAACCTAAAAGATTTTTAGACAATGAAGCCTACTTTAAAAGATCATGGCTTAAAAGCCTAACAAAGATATCTTTTTTGATGAAATCAAACTTGTAATTTGGAAGTCTTGGCCTTTGGAGATAGCATTAAATGAATCAAATCAAATTTTCAATTATGACAACTATACATATGATGTTTTGAGATCTCTATAACATTATGGATACTTTTAACAAAATTTGAAAATCTTGTCCAAATTTTTGTAAAAAACCACTTTTAAAGGATGGACCTAACACAAATTCAAAGGGACATTATCATTCATGCCAACTTGGAAAAAAGTGAATCATACTTCACTTTTTTTTTCTTCTTATAACTTTTTGTCTGATTTTCTTTAGTGCAAAGCCAACCAAGAGGGAAATTTCAATTTAACCCAATGGAAAGTTTGGAAAATTTGTGACCTAAAGATCCCTTTCAGACACTTGCAGCAAAACTTTTGTGTTAGAGAACAACGTTAAGAATCATTCTCATCTAGAGTTACCAAACCACCAACAGTATGAACTGATGACAAAACAATGTAAACCATGACCATCGAACTCGCAAAATTTTATAAAACATGAAAGACTGTATATTTGTTTACTCATTTTTGTCATTCTTCACAGGATTTCAGACATGCACACTTTGCAGGAAACAGAAAAATCAACGCACTTTCCACTCATCTTCATCTCATCGTTCTCCTCCTCCTACAGTAGTAATAGTAGTTGGTGGTGGTCATGGTGGTGTTGTTGAGGGTGATGCTTCAAAGCTGTGGACCTTGATGCTTCCCCATCACCGAACTCAACCCATCTGGCTCTTTCAGCATATCTGTGGCTGCAGCAAAGCACTGACTCACTGACTCGCTTACTTATTCAATGCCAAGCATGTGTTTGTTTTGTGGCGATGCTGCTGCTAGTTGGCTGCACTGGACAGGGCCCCACGCCATGAAAAGAATCCACAGCAGCTAAGACAATCGCCAACCTGGAAGCATGGATCCTTCCATTTCCAGGCAACTAGTGACACGCCCTGTGCTCCTGGGTTTTAGGGCATTTGTGCTTTCAGGGCTTCCTCTCGCTCACTTCATCGCTTGCTCTCGCTCTGTCCGTCCATCTGTCTGTCTGTCTGTCTATCTATCTGTCTCCGCGGATGCCAGTGTGTATGATGAGGTAAGGAAGGTAGCAAGCAATCGAGGAGGGTGGGCGGGAGAGAAGAAGATCTGAACAAGAGGGAGAGATATGTGACAACTGCGCGTGAGCAGAGGGAGTTGGTGCTGATGCTGGATTGCTGACGAACTCAGAATCTGATTGCGCACTGTTCCGCGCATCAGTCTGTCCCCAGGCTTTTAGTCAAAATATCACCACCCCTCCCCCGTCTTCATCGATTGTCGTGCCTTTTAGCCAGGTGCGGAGTCGTCGAGCCTCTCCTAGCCTCAACCGGAGCCATGCCCTCACCTTGGCCGATGCGTCAACCTTGTCCTCTAGCCCAAAGATCAGCCCCGTCCTGAAAAGCGTTTGTCCGTCTCTCTACCTACGCATTGATGCGTAATACTTTTCGTAAAAAAGTGCCATTCAATGAGTATATTCTAAAAATGGGTTAGCCATGAGGTGGGTCAGGGCTGGTTTCAACTCCCTTACCACGGGATGTAATGGACCATTGCCACCTCATTGGCATTAATTTCACCCGCACTCACACTCTCGTTTGCATTCGAAATGCATTTGCAGCACCTTCACTGTATTTAAACCCCTTCTGCTCCCGAAGTAGATGAACTTGGATAAACACTATAAATAGGCATATGGTGACGAAAAGGTAAAAACGGACACCAGTACTTAGAACAAGTCTCTCTTATTACTGTCCTTTTGCGTTTTGACATTAGTGGGTGGTTGCTAGTAACTGCTACAGAACGATGTCTTAGATATTTGGACCCCATGCATTGGAGTATCTAAGAATTTTCCATATTTTTGTTATTACTTACCAGGACTAATCTATCACGCTGTACCATTTGAACACGAAGATGAAAAGCAAATATGATGCTGAGCTTTTCTCGCTTGAAAGTGAGATAATTTGCACAGGAGATTGATGCCAGCCCCCCTCTAGCCCTGGTTTCCAGGAATCACCCCAGTTCGATGCAGGCCCATGCAGGTGAGTTACAGGAGAGAACATTCGGAGAGACACTGTTCAACCCCAGAATACATAACCAACACAATGACTGTGTTAACACGCTCCTCGAAGTCCGCCACGTCCAGCGCTAGGTCCCAGGCATGCAAAGACGTTTTCCTGGTGATGCGATTCGGAACTGTAATAATATAACTCTAGATTGGCAGGTCCGCAGTGAGTTTGGATCCGAAGCGAAGCGCTGTAATCAAGGCCCGCCAGCCCACGGTGCCGTCTCACGACAAGGGCTGCTTCGAAGCTTGGGGACCATGGTCTAGAGCTGGATTGTGCTGCAGGTCATTAATGAAGCGCGTCCGCTGGGAGAGTGCAAGCGCCGGGGGGATGACGAGGGGCTGGCGCGGCGTTGATGGCGCTGCCGCAGCGTCATCAGCTCCGCAGGACCACAGCTTGTGTTATTGGCACCCATTCTAGAAAATTCATTCTTATTTATATTTAGTTTGCTTACAATATGAGCATTTTGTACCAGTGTTGTACCTTTTCTCTTACTTTGTAATTGCTGCTGCGTATGAGTCCCCGAACTGTTTGTAATGATCCACAGTTTGATAGTTTTGTTCTGTGGAATAATGAACTGCAAATAGATTTGGTTGAACCTGTAGATCTTGAGTCTGTTGATTGACCTTGCTCTTCTAGAGCCTCAATTATTTCTAATGTTTTTTTTTCCGACATTTTTCTATATAAAGAAATTGTCCCTAAATAGTGCTCGTGACATTCTTCACATCCGGCAATGAGTCATGTTATTTTCACGCATTTCTTCTTTGTTTCTGGTTTGGAATATTACTTATAAGTTTCAGTTTGTGCTATTTTTATTTTGTATTTTTACGTACATTCAAATTTTGTGTATTCATATTTTTTTAGTATTCAGTGAAATCGAGTGCAAGTTTTCAAAAAAATCTTTAAGGATCTGGTAGAGTATACATATACATATTATCTAATTTGTGAACAAATAAAAGACATCAAAAGAATTAAAAAAAAAAAAAAAAAAAAAAAAAACACACACACACACACAACTGAGAAGTGCTAAAAACCTCGCAACATGCCTCCAACAAACAGTGCTTTTGTCAGGAATTGCACAATCACCAAAACATTGTCATTCCATTCCTCAAACAAAAAGCATCACAATTTTTTAGAATTATAGTTTTCATGAAAGAAGCAACACAAGAGAGATTAAATCGTTACATTCACATAGTAGTGCACAAAAGCCATGTAATATCTTTATGCATTGGGTTGGGAATCAAACTGTTGGTACACAAAATTCCATGATTGATTGACCTAGATGGCCCCAAAATAAACAAACAATTCCAGTATTCATGAGGACAAATGCTCCCATCACGGAAAGTGAAAAATCTTGATGGAGGAGCCTTACGCTACTGCAATGACACATGTGACGATGCACGTAGTGCGGCACTTGGGTGGGCTTATTTAGCTCAGCGTTGGTCGGCCAGCTTTCACGCCAGGGATGTTGCTATCGCTGCGGCTTCTGTGGGATTTGTGCTTGTGAAGGTTGCATTCCTGGACTCGGAGCTCGTAAACATCACGCAGTTCTTTGTCACCCACGGGTTTCTCAGCACCTTCAACAGGAAACTCCTGCAGTCATAGAAACGCTCGTGCGGCGGCTCTTCGGAAGGTATGTGTGTTCCCGCGGCGTGGATGCTGCCGAAAGCTTTGGCGTTAGGGTCTGAAATGCAGGTTGTGCTCACACAAACGGATAGTGAAAGGTTTGCGACGACGCGACATGCAGGTCCTGGTGCTTTAGGAAGGATAGGAGTGGGAAGCACTTTGCTTGCGTCTCGGGCGATTGAGGTCGGTCGAGAAGCAAGCAATGTGCCTTGAATTGCGTGTATTAAGTGAGTTTGTTCGTCGATGCTGCCTACATTTGGGAAATGTGCAATGGGTTCGTCAGGGTCGCAAGGAACGGTAGTTATTAGCTGGTGATAACGCAGTTGCAGGAAACTCTTGCTTTTTGTTGCTTGTTTTGTTACGTTGTACTTATATCGGCGCCATTGTTAGAGCTAATTTGTTGATGCAGTTGGTCTTCCTCGCATCTCTTCTTCGTTAATGATTTGCGGTTTTGGATGAGCCTTCCGCTCTGAAATATCGCAACGTTCGTTTCTTCGGGTAGAAGTGTAGCAGCTGTAGTTTGTTGGGTCCTTTATTGGAGCTACGGTGTCCCTGAAGTGGCTTCTAACATCAGGGAGGCTTAGCAGTACAGATGTAACTCAGACATCAGGTTGACCTATTGCAAGTCCTCCGACTTGGCATGGCTGCGACGGGATAACTGGCAATGTCTCAACTGTGAGTCTCTCGTATGTAGCTGAGCTAGTTTACACACTGCAATATTTTTCCGTATGAGACTGTCTGTTAGGAGAATTGACTACTGTCTGGTCACGGTCGCCAAGAACTTTATTTACGTGGAGAGGATCATAGGGCTTACGTTACATTGGAAATAGATCCACTTACACATAAAGAGACTAGTGAAACATTGTTGCTAATTGGACGCCTTTTCTCTTTCAGCTGCAGATCCTTATCGGAAGGAGCGCTTGATGCCTGAGTGTTTGTTATCGGTCCTCTGACTTCAGGACCATCAAGTATGTCTGAGAGCAACGATGCTCGTGAGGATGTTCAGCGGAGCCTGGCGGCGGCTCCTCTTAGAAGTTCCTTGAGACCAATTAATGTGCCTCGGACCTCCAATCTTGGGCCCGGCGCTGATTCTCGGATTCCTGACAATAGTACACAAAATCAGAATGAGGCCCCAGGATCAGAATCCAACACGACGACGCGAGATTTCAACAGCCCACTGAACTTAGAGCATGCACCTCGCGAGACCGTGTCGTTTAAGGCTAGCAGGTTCAAGACGAACCCGCCGGATTCAAGCGACTGTGCACCTCCGAGTGAACCGAAGGCCTTCGCTCGTTTACGTCAATCCGAAGTCGGCAACCAATCAGACTCTCCCAGAACCCCTAATTCCGCAGCGTCTAAAGGCACTTATGATCTCTTCAAGACGCGATCCAGGAAATTTTCTGGTCCCCTGGAGAGAATTGCGACGCCCCTCGACAGACAACTCACTCGGCTGAGAACACGACGACACCCTGCGGAGGAGGCTGGACCAGGCGCAGGAAGATGCGATTTCGTGGATGTAGAAGCGCAAGAAGCTGCTGCGAAAGCGGCGCAGCGAGAAGAACTTCAAAATCGAGCGCAGGAAGAGAATGGCGGTGGAATGGAGACAGCGTTGAGTGCGGGTCGTTACTTCGACGCTCTCACAGGGCCAGAGTTGGAGGAAGTGAAGGACAAAGAAAGCCTTCTTCTTCCCGAACACGAGTTGTGGCCATTTCTGCTGCGATTCCCCATCGGAACCTTCGGAGTGGCGTTAGGTCTCGGGAGCCAAACCATGCTATGGAAGAACCTAGCATTGGTGCCTCAGATGACGTTTCTTCAGATCCCCACGTGGATCAATTTGGTTTTGTGGTGTGTGGCGGTCCTCGCCTTGGTTGTTATTCTCATTTGCTACTTCCTGAAGATACAGTTCTATTTTGAAGCCGTTCGACGGGAATACCATCATCCCGTCAGAGTGAATTTCTTCTTCGCCCCTTGGATCGCGTGCATGTTTCTGGCCACCGGTGTGCCCCCTCAAATTGCGACAACCATCCATCCGGCGGTGTGGTGCGTTTTCATGTTCCCCGTTTTCTGCCTAGAGCTCAAAATCTACGGGCAGTGGCTCTCCGGTGGCCAGCGGCGCCTCTCCAAAGTCGCGAACCCTTCGACCCATCTTTCTGTCGTCGGAAATTTTGTGGGTTCCAATCTTGCAGCGATTGTGGGATGGAAGGAACCAGCGATATTCTTTTGGGCCGTGGGGTTGGCGCATTATATTGTGCTCTTCGTCACCTTGTATCAGCGACTGCCTACAAATGAGACTTTGCCCACCGATCTCCATCCTGTTTTCTTCCTGTTCGTGGCTGCTCCCAGTGCGTCGAGTTTGGCGTGGATGCGGATCTCGGGTGAATTCGACTACGTGTCCCGCATTGTTTTCTTCATCGCGTTGTTTCTCTATACATCCCTCATTGTGCGCATCAACTTCTTCCGCGGCTTCAAGTGAGTCTTTTATCACCTGCTTGTATTCGTAACCCCTTTTCGTAGCAAAGTATTATGGCCTTAACAATTTTTGAAGAATTGTTGCGAAATTGTTGTGAGCCTAATGCTTGAGTGAATGTGTTCAGGTTTTCTATCGCATGGTGGGCGTACACGTTTCCAATGACAGCGGCAGCCATCGCTTCGATCCAGTATGCACAAGTGGCACCTTCGTGGATAACTCGCATTTTAGCATTGGTGCTCTCGTTGATATCTTCCGCCATGGTTTGCACCCTCTTCATTTCAACCCTCCTCCATATGTTCTACTGGCGATGCCTCTTCCCGAACGACTTAGCAATCGCAATCACTGCCCACAAACCCAAGACGTTCGTGCGCGTCAAGACTACCGGTGACGATAAAGATGACGGATGTGGCTTGTACTCGCTTCATCACTCGGAGCCATTGTATAAGAGCATGCTGGATGCGTACCACTCGTTTTTGGCAACTCGGGAGCGCAACGAGGCGATGGTGTTGGATCAAGGGCAGACTTCACCAACGCATCAAGACTCAAGCACATCATCGAATGGCTCCATAAACGGCAACCTCATCCGTCGTTCTCCCTCGCCGTAGTCTCTTTCTACGATCATCAAAACCATTCTATCTGTGCTCTCTAGGACTGTCATACCGACTGGATCAGAACCAACTTCTGATTCTACCGCGAGAAGAAGCGGATTCCACCAAGTGTACAGTATACTTCGGCAACGCTCGCCTACAAGGAGATTATCACGCAACACTGTGACGTCGAAAACCGCCATGCTTCATTGCCATTGTCTACATTAGTGCTTTTGATCGAGGAAGCTGAGAGCCCACCGCGTCAATGCGGTGAGACACTGGGTCCATCGCAAGTTGAATTCTGGCATCGCCATGAGAACATTTTTTTCTCCGCTTTCGGCATTTCTCTTGCTAATTTTGATCAACATATTTTGTATATTAGGATCTTTGCTGTGTTGGCCACAAGGGGTCAACATATTTTAACGAAGTGAGGCTCTGGTTTGTATTCATCTTCTAGCAAGTGTTGGCATTATGAGTTTCCATTGTTGCTGTTTAGTAAGATGCTTCGTTCTCTAATTAGGCCAACTGCCTGGTGCCGTGTCAGTGTTGGTGATTCGATAAGACTGCACTTCTTATTGAAGAAAACGCCTTTGTTTTTACTAATATTTAAAGAGCTGCTAATTGTAGAATATTTTGGCTCAGAATAATGTAGACTCTACGTTAGACTTTTAATGGTGGTAAACACAGAATGAATGTCTGGTTGTGGTTCCACTGTACTATTGATAATGTTCTACTGTTTAATATACTATATCTAACCATGGTTGAATTGATTTAATAACTAAATATATATGAATAGGTCCATGTGGAATGTTTAAGCATTTGATGGTCTAATAATCTTTGGTTTTATAGGTAGACAAGACGATAAAATAACCTTTTTAACTAGTGACTAGTAACAGTTTTTAATGTTTACCACTTTTTATATATATATATATATATATATACACATTTATAAGAAATTTGAACATAGATTTAACTTTTTTTGGAAGGGAGAAGATTATTTCTGTCAAGTAAGAAAAGTGTGTACTAATTCATCTTTTCTACTTATGGTTTCTGTTTTGCTTTTTCCAAGCACAAAGGGAAGGGAATAACCTTGATAATACATTTGAACCATGGTTTTGCAAAATGAGCTTATAGATTTTTTTTTTAAAAATTCTGTGATCTTATGAAGAAGGGCAGTTGTGAGGTTGGTTCATTGGGGCAATGGCAGAGCTACAGCATGGCAACTCTGCAATGGGAAAAACAAGGAAATTATTTGATGTTGTTTGTCGGATGTGGATGGGACAATTCAAGGATACAAGGATTGTGCCAACATTTCCAACAATACCTTGGAAATAAGATTCAACCATGAAGTTCTCCAAAATCTTAATTCTTGTTTTGTGAATTTGTTTTATTTTTTTGCTTCATTTCTTGTAATAAAACATAGTTAGATTAAGAGCGTAATAAGGGATTGGAGTTAACATCATTGTGACACTTGAGAGGCCACCATTCTTAACAAACATGACTTAGGTTGTCCGTTCCATGTCTTATCCTAGTGATCCAAAGATGTAATCCACCCTTTCAACATAAATCCTAGCTATCATCAATCAAGACATCCAAACCATGTCCAAACTAGCCTTCATTGGCTTTGCCTCAACTAAACTCCTATTCCATATAGAGTTATAGAAATGGGCAAATGTCAACCTTATAGAACCAATCATATACATATTAGGCATCCAGATGTTCTAAAGGAGCTACTTTGTGCTTACTTTTGAATCTAAAATGGATACAAAGAGAGGCCTTCCAAAGCATCCACCTATATTTTGGCTCTCATCTTTTATACCTACACACATAGCACTCCCAATTCAATCTCCAAGCATTAAAAAGAATATAAATTTTCTTCTGGATTAGATTTTTAAGACTAGATAATATTTTCTACTAAGCATTATTTAATATGTGTGTAGCTTTTAGTAAAGTAGTCTAAATAGAGAAGAAAGAAGATTACTTGCGGAAGTCATCAACTCTTTAAATTTGTGTATTAATTAAGGACGTGAAAGCAATCTCTTCCTCAATCATACTATTGATATTGATGACAAAGAGAGAAATAGAAATTACTTTGGAGTATAAAAGGATCTTCAAGCAATGTAGGAACTACCTCGAACTAAAGCACAATGAAGCTTGATGTCTACACAAAAATACAAGGAAGAAATGACTTACACAAAAATACACTCACAACATTAATAACACCTATGATCAAAAGGCAACAATATTGACTGCCAAAATAGAATACATATCAATCTCATACATGGACCTTCAATCTACCTTTGAATTGTAGATAGAAGTTAGTATAATAGACACACTAGCCTTATATGTGGACAACTTCTTCCTTCCATGCAAAGATATAGTTTCTACTTCTCTTTTTGAGGACCTTGTACCTTGGTTCATGCTTGGTAGGGATAGAAGACTTCTAAAGTAGACAACACTCTCAAATTGTGAACTATCTCTAAGTAGAAAATGCCCTTGAAACTTGAGTGCTATAGAAGACTTGGTCTAAACCATCCTAAACTTTCCCAATATTATTAGAGAGAGGATAAAACCATGTAGATATAGTCAATCATCTATATTACCAAGAAGACTTAGAAATGATACTTGAATTTAATTTATGGAAAAATCCAAGGTATTAGGATCATACTACCAACTAATATATTACAAATAAACAACATCTGTGAGACGTACTAGGAACAACTACAAATCACATTGGTCATCAATTTAGGTCCCAAAAGCAAAGACTTAATCTCTTGAAGTTAAAAATTAATGTACTAGGTCAAATAATAGCAAACACTCCTAGAAGGCATGATAATTTTTCATATCTTAGCACTTATGGAAATATCTCCTGCAAATATATATTTTTTATATTTTGATGAAGCTATGTGTTAGTTGATATAAGTGAATGATTTAAAAATTTGGATTTATTTTAATTGAGAAATGACAAAAGAAGATCATTACCTCTTCAAAATGTTAGCACAAATATGGGGTCTTGTTTCAACTTGCATCAATACACTACAACCACCAAGAACATTACATGAAGTGCATTCAATCACCTCACTAATCCAATCTACCTCTAGTTTAAATTTGCCAAACTCTAAGGTATCAAAGTAACTAGCTATGAGTGACAACTTGATTATATGTGATTCCACATTAGTACTCATGACCAAAATACTCAATTAACTTGTAGGTACCCTAGATCAAAATTCAAAATCCACTCTAATCCATCTATAAACAAATTCCTAACCTAGTTCACTCCTTTGCAATAATCTATTCCTGTTGCACTCACATCCCTTCCACCCCCTCTTGAATTGACCAAGAAAATGCTAAGTTAGATATAACTTTGATTATCATAGCAGCTATCTAATAAATAATTAAAAACATGTTAGTTATTACATGTGGTGCTCAATTATGTTGGCCAAGATATGGAATTCTCCTAGCATATTTGAATAACCATAAAGCATTTAAAATTGTAATTATTGGCCATATTTCTCCTTAGCTTTTTCTCAAGGATGCCTTTAATAAAGACCTGCTATTCAAAATTTACTGCTTCTCCATCAACAAAATAATTATAAATAGAGACAAATACATCATGGTTATTTACTTCCTTCTAGTCTTAGTTAATATAACACAACTAGCTACTATTTCTACTATGAATAACAAAAAAACTTCTTTCTTCACCCGCTTATGACCAACACATTATACAACATAAATTTATAGAATATTCATGGCCTTTCTAACCTTCAAACTAGCAAGATCAAACATGGCAAATTTAGAGCTCACTTATACTCAATGGACTTCCAACTTGATCTAGTATTCATGTAAGAGCACAAACTAATATAAATAAAAGGTGATCAAATAGGCTCCTTTAAATTACGTAGGAGGATTGGCTTCTATGTGGTGCCATTGTTCACAAAAAGAACTCAATGAAAGCAAATAAAGAAGTGAGATTCTCTCAAAAAAATATGACAAAATAGAAATAAAGAAGTATGTATATTAAAAAAGAAACTAGAATGGCTATTGCCAAAAGACAAAGAATCTAAAGACTCTTGAAACTAGACTAAAAGCAAGAAAGGAATTGACAAGAGTGAAGAAGGCTTCACTCTTGTTTTTATATATATTATCTATATAGGATCTATGTGGCGACATTCCATATGACCTCCAAAAATGTGTTGATTTTGCATGACATGTATCTTAACTTATATTTAGTTACATTTAGTTAGCTTGTTTACTATGTGGTCCTATATAAAAAATAATTATAAATAGAGACAAGTTTTCTATATAGAGCTATATAGTTAGCTTTTTTCAGAAGCTACAAATGCATATGGCACGTAATTAGCTTGTTGACTAAGTTTTTAATCTAGTTATATATTAAGTAGTTTTTAAATTTAGTCAACAAGCTACTCAATAATACTAAATTGACTCTTGATTCAATCCTTATGAAGCAAATTCAATCAAGTATGTCCTTTAATCCTCTTATTTATGATATCAAGAATCCTTCTTCCATGTCTCAAGATGCTTCCAAGTTTGAGTTAAAAAGTAATCTACTTTATTTTGAAAGATGCTTATAAATTCTAGAAAAAAAAACATGTTTACATATTCTTCAAGTACATCATGACTTTTCAATGGCCAGACATTTTGGATACAAGACATTAAAAATTATATTTAAAAATCTTTAATCACCACAAATGTGAAAAACAATAAAAAACTTTGTCTAGTCAATGACATTTGTTTAAGGTTAAAATCTCCTCATCATCGACCCTATGGACTTTTCCAACCATTATCCATTTAAGAACAACTATGATCTTCTCTTTCTATAGATTTTATTATAGATCTTTCAGTCTTAAGTTCTTATTATTCTATATTTGTGATAGTAGATTGTTTCTCCAAGATGGCACATTTTGTATCATGTACAAAATCTATCACACGTGAAGAAATATACAAGCTTTTCCTTGACAACATCTATCACTATCATGGATTGCTTAAAGATATTATATTAGATAAGAGAACTCAGTTTGTATCAAGATTTTGGATAATACTTTTCAAGACTCTAAAAGTGAATATACAACTATCTTTGGTTTTCCATCCTCAAACTAATAGACAAATAGAAAGTGCAAATCAAGTTTTGGAACAGTATTTGAGGTGTACCATCAACTATCAACAAGATGATTGGATAATTCTTTTGCCATTGGTAGAATTTTTTTATTATAACACAATACATTCTTCTACGTAACAAACACCTTTCTTTACTAAGTATGGTTATCATCCACAACTTGATGCTTTTGACTTTTTAAAAGTTAATAATCTTACAACAAAAGATTTGGCAAATCATTTATCTAAGCTATATACAATAATAGAGGCGCAACTAAAAGAGGCTCAAGAACAACAAAAGAGTAATGCAGATGCTTATTGCAAGGAAAAACTTCATTTCTATGTTGGTAATAAAATATGGTTACTTTGCCATAATATTAAAACTATTTTCCATTGTAATAAGTTAGATTATTATAGACTTAGACCATTTCATATTTGTGAACAAGTCAATCTAGTTGCTTATCAATTACATTTACCAAAGTCTATGAAAATCCATCCTGTATTTCATGTGTCTCATTTAGAGCTATGTAAGACAATGAATATCTTGAAAAGAAGAGAAATACCACCGCCTCCTATAGAAGTAGATAATATTTAATAATTTAAGGCGGAAGAAGTCTTAGATTCAAGGCATCGCCAACATAGGTTAGAATATCTTATTCATTGATGCGGATATAATATTAGCAAACACACATGGGAGTCAACAAAAAATCTTAAAAATATAGTAGAGAAGATCAAAGCTTTTCATCAATGAAACCCATCAAAATTAAGATGAAGGCATGGCCAAGCACAATCACATTTCCACCTACTTCCACAAGTAAAGAGATGAATGAAAAATAATTATTAGATAGGAATTTTGAGATCATTGATGCAAGAATAATATTTTCTGTTCAAGTGGTCTTACTTCTCTCAAATGGAAGCTTGCACCCATTCTACTCAACCTTTCAATCCTTCATAGGAAACCACATTGAAATGTATTTTATTCCTTTATTAATACAATACTATTACTTCTAAACAAATAAAATAAAAAGCTTTTAGATCTTTAAAGATTTCTCTAAGTTGATATTGTATCAACGGAGGTTGTTGTAAGTCAATGACCAAATTTGAAGCATCTCAATACACATTAATTATAGTTTATTGAGTGCTTTTATTGATATTTTAGCAAAAATTATTCAACTACAAAAAGTATACAAAAAATAATAGAACTCCAAAAAATACAACTTGTGTGTTTTATTTGGCTTTTTAGAAAATTATTATTATAATTATATATATATTAATAATAGCTTTGTATACTTTATTAATTAAAATAATAAATAAATAAATAAATAAAATATTATAATATATTTAAAAATATTTCTTAAAGAAAGACATGACATATTTGTTTAGAATATAAATAGCATTAAAGTATGTCCAACATGTTTTTAAGGTATTATTGGCCATGTTCAAAACTATTTATGAAAATATGCTAAATTTTTTAAAAAATTATAATTTGTAAAAATAATTTTTTAATTTTTAAAAAATATAATAGTAGTATGTGGATTAAAATTAGGTGAAAGAAGCCCCACATATTTTAACTTCCATTGCAAAAATGGTATGAGTTGTCAAATAATAAATAAATTAGATATTATGGATTTACTAAGAATCTTGTGTGCTAGTCTAAATTTAAAACTAATAATATCTTTTTTGATTATTGTACAAATCTTATAGTGTATTTTCCATTTTTTTTCTTGACTAAATGCTTACTTTTTTTCATAACTTATCATTTTATATATTTTTAAAATTTTAAGATTTAAAAATAATAAAGAGAATTTTATCAACAGTAAATAAATATGACAAGTCAATTAATTTATTTAAAATATATATATTTTGGAATTCATCATAAATATTTTTTTAAAGTATATACGTAAAATTATAAAGCAAATATCAAAAAAACTCATAAAGATTTGTTCAACATGTTTATCAAATTTTAAAAACTTAAGATAATACTTTGTGTTAAGCACCTATATTCTAATGGAATATTAATTAAAAATGTAAAAGTTATGCAATTTAAATTGATTATAAACAATATGCTTAAAAGTCACTATCAATCCATAAAATAATATGCATCATTACTAAAAGTTTGTTCTTCTTTCCTTCTCTCCATATATTTAAATTCATCTTAAATTATATTTCAAAATTGAACACATTCAAAATTTATTTTTACAGGAATAATTATTCAAGATATTTCTTCAATAATATATAATTAATAATAATTATCTTTGTAATTATTAATTATAATAATCTATAGTGACTATAATATTTTAATTGATTTCATAAATATATATATATATATATATATATATATATAAATTTTACACTTTTGTAAAGAAGATTTATTATTAAAAAATATAAATAATTTTATAAAATATAGAATTTATTAAATTCAAAAAATGATTAAGAAAACATAAACAATTTGTATTTCTTTTGCAAGAACAACTATAAAAACAAAATATTTCTTAAACTCAAATAAATTAAACTTTTGATACAATTATTAATGAATGCATGCATACTTAGGAGACAAGATTAGTTAATAGAAATTTAATTCTTTTAAATGGTTGAAATTGAAAAGCCTCATCTAAATTACTTTTTACTAAGAAAAATTAGTTTAATGGCCCTAATAGTAAAAGATAATGTAGATTGTATTTTTTTTTTATTATTATTTTTTTATAGTTTATATATATATATATATATATATATATATATATTTCTAGAATTTTAATTAGCCTTCATCTAGAAGTATCTAAATAAATAATTTTTTGTATTAAATCAATTATAGAGATTATTTTCTTAATTTCATTATAATAACTTTTATATGAATATTAATTTTTTCATTGAGAATGATACCCAAGAATAAAGATACATTTATTTTTATTGTCTTTATTAATAAATTTTGGATGTTAATTTATGAACTTATATTGTGTATTTCCTAAATACATCATAAGCTTTAAAATAACATTTTTTCACAAGTTCTTTTGATTCTTTTAACCTTATTATATGTCAACAACATACATAATTACCTAAATAAGAAATATTAAGTAGAAGGTAATAAAGATAGATTTGACAATATCTTGTGGAGAAGATTTGTAGAAGCTTCAAAGATGTGGATTTGACCTTTAGTCATGTTTGTGCATGCATATCACTTGATTTTATTATAACAACAAAAATGTATTTATTTTTTATTTGTATTGTAATTAACATTATTGTGATGTATTTTATATACATATATGTATGTATTCTAAAATAGTTTTAATTATGAATAATAATTTTATTTCTACTAATGATACAAATATATTTCTATATAACATGGAGATCTAATATCCATGTAGTATCCTTTAGATAAAAGTACAATATACTTTAGAAACAACAATATAAATGCATTAAATATAATATAAATTATCAAAATGTAAGAATGTATCAAAATTAAAGTGGTAAGATTATTATCAAAACTAGTAGTTACATGTTCAAATACTATATATTATAAAGATGTCATGTTTCTAAATGTAAGATATCACATGGTTACTTCTGTTCATTCAGAATAAGATTGCATATTTATACAAGTCCTTAAAAATAAACAAAAAATAAGTTAACAATAGAAATTCCAAATAGTACAAAGCATTGTGTATAGGAGAATATTTGAATGTTGAAAAAGATAACAATAACACCTGTGCACTTGGTCTATTAGCAGACCTTAATAACTGGCAAGCTCACCAAAAATGTTAGCTGGCTAGCCACGGTTTGAGCTGCATAATTCCCAACGTTGATTTGCTTACTCAATCACTGAATAATTTTGTTAAACACTTCATTGTTTCATTTCATGTGTTTGCTTGATTGCTTATCGTTGTATGCTTTCGCCACTTAATATAGATGACTATGACTATGAGGTTGGCAAAGGGCCTTTAGCAAGCAATTGTGTTTGTTCATAGTATGGTGGTAGATAATTATTCATGCGACCCAAATCAACACTAGTCTAACCTACAAGCGTCAGACGAAACTGAATGAGAAACTATATGTAGATTGGGTGTGTACATTGGAGATTTTTTAACCTCGGTAACGTTGGCAGATCGAGGGAATAATCCATCTCGCACAAAAATTGCACTTCCATCACAGAGAAACCGAAACAAAACAGCATGCCGGCGTCATGACACCTGCAGTACTTGTATTGACATGGTGACGGAAAGAAAATTCGTCCTAACGCAAAGTTCCATTTCGATGTGTGAGAAATAAATGTGGCTGCAACAGAGGAAAGATGACTTCCTAAGGTAGGAGGATATCCAGAACACCTTCCACCTTATCAGCCTCATCTTCACCTCATAAAAATGCAGAAACAACTGAGGCCTGTACCAAATTCCATTCCGTGGTCTCAGTAAGAACATCACTTTGCAAGATGAATGACATTTTTAAAGACCTTTGATACCTAGTTAAGTTTAGATCTACACTGGATACTAAAATCAACTCTACCGCCCTTCCTCCAGAACATCAAAATCATTAACGACATGTAGAAACTAAAGGACATGATTCAAAACTAAATTGCACTCCGATCTCAATGCACCGACTACAGGAAGTCCTATTTGCTAGTTCCGCACGAATTTCTATCAATCGATAACGAGTTCAGATAAATATGCTCTATGACAAAAAACCTATTGGTATTTAGAAGAACAAAGCAACAACACTTACAACGACCTGCAAATAGCATCACCTGCTTGAATGATCCAAATGGACTTCAACGTGCTGGCAATGTTGTATGTACATCACCTTTGGCACCCTTCCAAGCAATCCTCCAGAAGTGTGACGAATAGTGGATCAAGAAATGGGACCAGATGTCGTAAATGGGTCAGGTTTCCATAGACTTACCTACAGCAGGTATTTCAGATAGCTCGTAGAGATACACGACACCCGGAAGCCATAGAAACTTTCAAACAGGTTAGTTCACCCTGATGCCATAGTAGCTCAACCACTGGGCACCCGTCTGCTGTTGAATATGCGCAGTGATAGGCCTATGTTAGATTGACGCTTTTTGCGTCTATTTAAGCTTCAGTTGATGTCCTGTTTGAATTTGTTCGACACTAGTCATCTTCAACAGCAGGGGTTGCTTGGATGGGCGAAAACTTGATGATGGTGGAATTACAGAAAAAGCACCGCTGATTGTTGAGAAGATGTCGAGATATACAACGTTGACAAGACTTGTGCTTGCAGGGAAAGAAAATGGTGTCCACTTCACAAGCATAGCATATAGTGCATGCCTCTTCCCTGTCCATCATTGCAAGGCTCCCAAGAAGATCTGCTCCAATCCCAAGTTCGCCACTCATATGAAGACATTGTAAACTTTTACTCGACATTGCAATGAATTCAACTAAGTGCTGTAAAGCCAAACATGAAGGCAGATTGGGCAAGTTGAAAAGGTCCGATACCTGAGGTTGAACTCATTGCAAGCAAATCATGAGAAGAGGTCTGTTTCCTTGCAGCTTTTGATTCAAGCTTCAGTTTTGAAACAAACTGTTTCAAATCTGAAATTCTGCTGATAGAAATATCTCCTTTGAATGCCATCTCCTACAATACGCAATTTTAAATATAAACAATTGTCCGCTTAAAAGACATCCTTCAAATTGCATACTTTCCGTTCTTACGCATGATTGAGTTTCCACATCTGGTCTACACCAACATATAGAACTATTCAAAACAGGTATAAGAGCTGAGAGAATATTAATCCTTACCCAACTGTAGTCTATCAGATATTGAAATTTGGCAATAACAGCTGCCGAAACGTCTAAACCAGCAAGAACTGTTGCCACGTCGTAGGCCATAACATGATTAGGTGTTGAGGTAGCGTTTCTCAAATTGAGTATAATTCCAACAAGAGGAGCCAAGATCATTGCTCGATTAATCTTTTCCGGAGATTGTCCCTGCTGCCTTACAGTGCTGAAAGAACGAGGAAAAAAACGTTTGAATTGTGTTGATTAACGATCCTGACAAAAAAGTACAGAAGAAAAAATCTGCTTCCTCCAACCAAAACCAGAGCAGGATGACGGAAAATAACGGTGAATAAATAAATAAATGACAAGGGCAGAACATTCTTGAGGCCTCAGTTTACCAACCTATCAAAGAAATGAGCGTCTGCGCTTATTGTAGTGTGATTGAGAACGAATACGATAATCTCACAAAGCCGAAGAAGATTGATTTCAGGCCCTCGCAAGAAAGCATATGGCAACTCTTGCGTGAGGAACTCGAGTATCCTTTCTAAATTGCAAGAAAGTTCGAACATAATTGTGCATTTCCTTTGAAGCAAATCTGGCACCTGATCAGTTCAGCAAAAAGAAACTGAGATTCAGAACCAGTAAAGCGGTTGGATACAAAAGTTCAAATTCCGAACTCATTCTTCTGCTCTTTTCTAAAACTGAATGGGAAAATACATACTTTTGAAGTGCGTAAAGTGCTTTGAAAAGTCAAGACCGGACAATCGTGCAATATCATGTCACTACTTACTGTATCAATTGACTTGCGTATGAAGAGCATTATGTCTACATTTAGAAAGCTCTACAGATAAGAAAGGTCCACGAATATAACCCAAGCGAATTTTGGAAATGCATTTTCTAGATCGGATGAACAATTCAAGCAATTAAAAGTAACAATACCTGACGCAAGTCGGATTGTTCTTGCATCTCTTTAATTGCAACTGAAAACTCTGTGATAGTCCAGTTCAGCGTATTGAAGAGACGATTGAGGAAGGACGCAAAGAGCCTTTCGTCGGTCATACATTTTTCCTTCAGTAAACGCTGCATCCAAATGCTTGGTGATCAATTACAAAGCTCAATGTTCTATAACAAAGTTTAGCAATCGCAAACACATTAAAAGAAAAATAATAAGCCCTGTACAACACGTCCACAAGGCTAGTTGTGCCTACACAGCTACAAATCCCCCGATCACGTCAGATCTCGAAACTTGAAAGTCATACTAACCTGAAAATGCGGGGAGAAAGACTCTCCATGTGACAAACATTTTGAGGCTCCAAAGCCAGAACCCTTACAAAGCCGCAACAAGATGTTGGATACAGGGATCCAAAAGCGGTTGTCAAAAGAAGATAGAAGAGAGCCAGCCATGCATTCTCGAGCTGCTTGGCTCCGTTCAAATGCGATGACATGTTCCTTATATTGTACCAAAACTGATATTGACTGCAGCAAAATATCTCGAACATCTGGATTCGCTATTCGGACATCATTAAAGTGGGTAACCAGGAAAGTCACCTGTATGGGTAAATCAGGTAAAATTAAGAAGGAAACACAGCAAAGGAGGTAAACGTAATGAACCTAGTAAAGCAGCAACATGACAGCATCCCCATTCGCCTAAGAATACATCCAAGGACACAGCATAGAAGCGAAGAGAATACCAGAGGAGAAAGCCCCTGCTGCAGAAGAGAGGACGGCGATACAAACGGAGGGTCGCTTCTTCGCAAAGCATGAAAAGAGTCCATCTGGTAAGACATCCACTAATCAAAATCGCACAATGATCCAAACTCTCACAGGATTTAACATGTTTCGGCAGCAATCAGGGGGTAAGCGGTTCCAAGATCAAAAACAAGAAAAACCATCAAATGCTACAAAACGGACAGCATGCATGAAGAAAGATACGAAGTAGTCTGGGAAGTAACCACACACCAGAGTCTCAACATAGAATTCTGGAACGTAGCTGAAGAGAGGGTCTCTTTTACTCAGAACTAGTAAAAGCTGCACAAGCCACATACAGGTGGCATACATTCCCCTAAGCTTCCACCTTGCAAACATTGTCACACGGTACCTGCAGTGCAAAGGCGTGATTAGAGGCACTAAAATTAATAACGTGCAAACCTAACAAGGTATCATCGATCACTACAAATACAAAGGGAGAATTGCGTGATGGTGAAAGAACATACCATGTACACTGCCGAACACAATCAATCAAATCTTCTCGGTATAGTGTTCTGGCTTCTTTCAAACGCTTCACATATTCACTCGACATCTTCTCTTCCCGTATCTGACGATCTGTTTCATCAAGTTGAGCAATTGATTGCATCTGATGCTGCATGAAGAACGAGGCCTACACAGAAGCACACAATGTAAATAAAATAAGACAATAGGTCTCCATAAGCATTGCATAACTAAATCATCTGATCACGACATGGTAATATTTAAGATGACGGAAAGCGGCAAATATCATACCTGTTTGAAATTTTGAGCTAGTCCGAGGTGGTACAGCAAGAGCATGATATCCAGCAACTCCTCTTCTCTAATAGATTCAGATAGCTCCTTCATAGGCTTAAACCCTTGCCTCTTATAGCTGCGGGAAACAGGAGCGCCGCCCAACCCAATATCCACCCTTCCGCTTGAACTTGGTTTGTCTTCGACACACCCGTCACAACTGCGACCACTAGTATAATTACTACTGATGGGGCTACCCGCCCTCTCACTCACTCCAGCTGCAGCACTGACAGCGACTAACTTACTTGGGGCCCTCACAGGAGTCTTGCTGTCGCTCAGCAGCCCACTCAAGGTAAGGTCGGAACAACAAGCTGGCTTCAGTTTACCATCATGTCGCACAACATTATCTCCTTCATCCATACAGCTTTCCTCCCATTCCACTTCTGAAACATCCAACCCGACAGGAAAGGTTTTCACCAAATGGCTGAAAGTTCCACCCAAGCGAGCGAAATCTGTGGCGCCGGAGTCTTTCAAGAAGATGCTGACAGGAAAACTACGCTTGCCGACCCTGCAGGTGCAAACCACCCTCAATATCTCTTAAACGTTCCACAATAACAACTGCTGCTAGTCAGGGTCACCGTCGACTAAGAACCAAATATGTACAACACTAAGAACACAGCGAAGATACACGAGTCTTTTAAATGAAATATTGTAATAGAAATGAGTACAGTTCAACCTGTGAAGTAAACTTGTAGAATAATCTTGTTCCTTCATTCCTTCAGCGAAATCACCATTCATCTTGCCTGGTCCAAAGCCCTCAGATAGAAGTCGCAGCAGAACACAATATGTCGAAACGAGAACAGAATTATCAGACAGCCCCGCTGGCGCTATACTCCTGTTGGCCCCACGATTTTTGCATACAAGATTCCGCAAAAATCTCCGAAAAACCACGCCAGGAACGGGCTGGGATAAATCAGCTGCTGGGGGCGGTACAAAGTGGAGCAATCGAGTGCAGAGCTCCCATTGCAAATCTTCCACCTGCGTTCAAAAGTCCGTTGGTTGAATGGAACACCACAGATCGTGTTTTAAATCTACCAAACTATGCACAAAGTTGGACCGCTCCAAATTACGCCCTACTTTTGTTACAAATTCAAATACTCACCTAAGTACCCAAATTACAAATAGTACGTTATAACTGAAAGCGATTATATCCATGTTGCAAAGGCACTAGTAAACCTAAAAACCATATGAAAATAACCCATTCAGCATCTCCGTTCGCACAACACAGTCACACAACACAAATTCCTCAAACGGAGGACGGAGACAGAGATTTAGACCAAAGTGAATCCAAGGTCTTAACCATTTCTTCAGACAACCTTTCATACAGCAGCTCATGCGGCTTAGTCAAAAATTGTAAAGAGTGATCGTGAGTTTTGCAAACCAAATTTTAAGCACTAGTATGCAAGACCGAACAGTTCTCCAGGGGATAAAGGATATACAGGTGATATATAAATGATACATACCTTCACAATTGCCTTGGACAATGACGTCGCAGCATGCTTCATTTTACCCTCAGAGCAGAGATCCTCCCGAGATCCAGGCCACCATACAATTGGCAGCAACCCTTCAAGATCATTTTTGTTTGGACCCTTTCGAGTAAGAAGCCCTTCCAAACATGAATCGAACCCTACTGACATCCACCATGAGACCATGAAGTCATATCGCTCCAGTAGATGACAAGCTAGCGCCAGGTAAGGATAAGGACCCGTATAAGGATGGTCAACTAGCGTGAATGGGGATGTGCGGCAGCCATACGCGAGAGCTTCCATAATAGTAGTAACAAAATCGCCAACAGGCACATGCCTTTCTAATCGTGGGAGCAAAATATCCAATGCCTGATCAACACTAGAGGCATCATGGGGAGCTTCCTTTCTGTAAGTTTCCAGAAGGAACGGAACCAATGAACACCAAATTGTGTACTCTCCTGGAACCTTCAAATTATTTTCCAATAAAACTAAATCATCAGACCTAGGACTAACCAAGAGTAGCGGTAGAAGAAAATCGCATATTTCCGAACCTAGTGACAAAACATCATAGCCAGTCAAGCGAGAGTATCTCCTTAATCTGTCTTCAGGAGCCATGGCAGCAGCAACCTCGCGACTTCCCAATTGAACGAGCCTCTGCAAACAACCGAGCAGGAACTTTGCTCTTGTAGATGATAAAATCATTCCATGCTTGTTGTCGCTAATCTGGACTATTGGAGGCAGCTGAATGGAAGCAAACCCCTCAACAGGGTACTTAAATGGTCTGCCACCAAAATTCAATTCGCAGCGTTCGCCAAGCGAAAGAGAAATTGCCGGATAGTAGCCTTCTCTAGGTTCAAGCCCTCTGATGTTGTCGTAAGCCACACCTAAACAAATACCATTTCTGTAAAATATAATCTGTTTCTTATTCAAGTCCAAACAGCAACCTATAACATCCCCCACTACCCAAGGCTGGCCGTACGAAGCATGACATTTACTCCACTTGCGAACCCTCCTCCCATCATACGCATACGAATCCGCCGCATCACCTACCCCTTCCTCATTCGTAAAGGGGCATGAGATTGTAGCCCAGCCAAGTTGCTGAATGCCGGCTGTTCCCAAGGTTGCCTCGTACATCCACCGTCCTTTCCACACACACGCATTGGCACGCACACTGCTGAAAATTGTCTGGCTCTCCAGGTGCAAGAAGTTCATATCGAACTTGATGTCGCCGCAGGCACTTCCACTGTCCATCGCAACAGTTTCTTTCCCGAAAGGTGCGGCATTGATGAAAACGCCATCCCTGTGGCTGGAACCAGATATATAACACTCCTCTGGGTCTCGAATGACGCTGAGCTGCGCTTCGAGATACGATCGCACGCTACTAATATCAATTTTGCCATCTTTTGTAAAGGAGAGTTCCGAACCCAATTGAGAAACGTCGAGGACATGTGCCAGAGTGCGGTCCCGTCCCCACTTGCCACTTTTCTTCATGCATACAAGCAGCAACAACCACGGCACTATCACTTTCTTGCTCGTTCTAAAAGGGCAGCCAAGCCGTTTGACCTTGCTCTCTGAAGCTGGAGCCCTTTCCGCGGACCTCCATCCGCCCACATCTTTCAAACCCACCTGCTTTGCCCTTTTGTTACCTCGGCTGAGAATATGTCGAATCCCCTTTCGGTGAAAACATTCCACACCTGGAGCTTCCGCTACCTACGACTGCACAAAAATTCATTCGTCCAGCCACCTTGCCACTTTATTGAGGCCTTCCTGCAGCTGACCTCTTTCCGGAGACAATTAATTCCATCGGTGAAACGGCCCAGGTGCCAGACGGCTACAGTTACCTCTCAAGTGCGTGGAGAGAAACCCAAAGCTTCGTTGCCTACGAACACAGAATTGTCAACAATTCCAGTACCTGCAGGCTGGCCAGACATGTCCTTCAATATCTCGACTCAAAGATTTCTGAAATGCAAAGCTTAAGACTAAATTTCGGAGGTATAGAAATACGAACAGCAAATCAAAAATCCTCACAATAGAACGTCTCTAGCAGGAGCGTATTTCAAAACACAAGACAGAATTCCTCGATGCATCACTTTCAAAACCAGAATCTCACGGATGATTGATTTCCATCAGCTTGCTATCACGCAACTTTCGACATCACTTACGGTGCATAAAACCTAACAACAGTCACGGTGATCGCCATCGCTGCGAGGATAACGCACTCTGTTCAAATTAAATTGGAGCAGCATGCGCTCAAAATCTCCACAATTCAACAAACGCCTCAAGATAAGTCTGAGCAGAAAGTCTACTCCATAACCCCAGCGCTCAAAATTGCCCAAAAGTCAAGATTAATTGAGAAACGTGCTTCAAAGTATCCACCACAAGAGAGCACTCACTAAATCTTTAAAAGTACGTGCCGTAACCAACACCCAAAACCACAGTCACGATCGTTACACCAGAAGGACATCATATGTGCCCATCCGGCTCTCAAGATGCTCCAGTGCACAAAACGTCTCATACTCCGCTACCACTCTCTAACCCCTTCATACCGTCACACCACAATCCTCTCTCTCTTATCCTCATGTCGCTCCGCAAATCCACTTTTTCCAGGCGCCGCAAAGCAGCAACATAAAATAATCACACATGCTCACAGAATCCAACCCTTCGCTCACGCAACCATCGCTACATATCTCTCTTTCTCTCTCCATACTACTCCATCCCAAATTCTAGTACCTCTACAAGACAAATTCAACCATCAAAATCCCCTGTTCACGAAATCTACAATCAAGGCCACCGGAACTACCACCATCAGCACCACCTCCACCCAGGCACACGCCAAAGTTCAAATTTCCCTCCACAATTCCCGAGTTCAACCTACCATGCGACATCAAAACCAGCAACGATCATCACCATGACGATTTCCGGCGCAGATGCTACGCCACGAGCAGTGTAAAGTGCACGGCAAGCAGAGCCGTCTCTGCAACATCCCCTGTCCGGCAACGAACCCCCAGTAGCATCCACAAGTGAAATGAGGCTCCAGATACCGCGAAGCTCCACACACAGAGGCACACAAGCACACAACGCTCTCTCTCGCTCTCAGTCCGTCTCCGCACCACACACCCTCCTTTGGCTTGCCCCCAGCGCTGCCCCTCATTCGCTCCCACCCCCCAGATCTGACATGGCGGGTCCAGCTCACCTACTGCTACGTCTCCCTCAATAACCCGATTCACACTTACTGTCCCCTTCCCTTATGGAACGCGGCGGCCCCAGGTCTTGTTTTCCCATTCCGTCTCGTCAGGAGCTATCAAAGCATCGTTCACACGACCAACCCGATTAACGTTGTTTCCCCATCGCACTAACGGCGCTCCACTCCATCTAACTTTAGCAGTCGAATTCTAATCCTCGGAAGTCTGTGCTCGACGTAGTTTACGCTTTTCTTTTAAAAAAAATTGAGTTGGCTGCTGATAACCTCAAGTGTCGTCGTTGCTTCCACCCGCTCGGAGGGTTGAGCGGGCAGCGAGGAATATCTATTCTGTTCTCCTTCTTCCTCCTTATTAATGGATATTTCAACGAACTATCGCTCTGTCCATTTCGTCCCGACGAAGGAAACGTGCATCACGCTGCATTACGCTCCAGTTGAATCGAGCGGGTAGAAGAACCCTTCCCTCCTGGATTGCTTTCATGTAAGTGGCTTCTCACGCCTTGTGTGTGTGTGGCTGCCATTTCATTTGGATGCAGACACGTCGATCTTTCTCTTTCTTGGAGACTCTTTGTTTTGCGTTTGTATGTGTGTATGTGTGTATGTGTGTGGTTGTGTGGTTGTGTGGAAAGGAGCTTGAAAGCTGCGAGCGAGAGTAAGAAACTTGATCGTTCTTCGAATCGGCACAGACTTTGCGGGAATGGAAAAACGCCATAGCTGCTGCTGTGTATTGACCTTCAGCTGAGTGGGCTCTACCCGGCTGTGAATGGAATGGAATGGAAGCTCTCTTGCATTGCGATCTTCCTTTCTTTCCAAGTGTTCTTTCCGTAAAAGCAATTCTCTATGTGTCTTTCTGCCATACCCTGTTTATTATTTTGTCTTCTTCCTTTCGTTTCTGATGTATATGCACTTCAAAGTATCCAATGCGATTGGTTCTTACTTCAAAAGTCCCTCTCTCTGGTCAAGTCCTTTTGCAACACTCTTGTGACCACATACATGATAAAATCCTTAATCACTCGATAAACTGCTACAACTCTTGCTATCAATCACTGTTTTTTCCTTTTCTCTTTTCATACTTTTCATCTCCTTGTACATGAAGTTTGTGTATCTGGAGCGGGTGGAATCACCTATACTACATTTTTTTTTATGAATTGTCTTCCTCGGAGTTATCCGAATGCCATGATACTTTCTTTTTTAAAAAATTAAACTATTAAACTATTAAACTATTCTCTCTCATTCCTTTCTGTACGGTTACACCATTTTATTACTTTTTTTTTGAAAGGCAATGATCTCTAAATCGTCTGTGTCACTATAAAAACTTTGCTGGAGTGTGTGAAAAATTAGTGGTTGTCTCCAGCTCACTCCCTGTTGGCTAAAAGTAAGGAGAGTTGTAGGTTTCCCCATCGGCTCCAGGTGAGCCCCAATCAAAATCCACAAATGAACTTAACTCTAGTTTTTCTTTTTTCTTTTTTCTTTATTTTATTTTACATGTAGACGAACTTGTGTGTGTGTGATTGTACTGCCACAAAATCTCACAAGGTCCACCTCATCCCCATGAATAAACGCTCGGGCATTTCAAGTTAGTGGCAGAATGGACTATTCCATTTTTGCGGCTCTCAAGTGGATAAGTTTAATCAATCAAATCTGGTAAAGAAAAACCTTCATCTAATTTTTCATCCATTCCTCTTCACGAAATAATATCTTCATTTGAAAGAAGAAAAAAATAATCTTGAATCTATAATAAATGCAATATCTGGAGATTCCACCACAAGAGAGAGAGAGTGACGCTTTATTTCGTCACCTTCCTCAGTACCTCACACTTTTCTCGTGCAGTAAATACAATCCTATGTTGCACATTAATTTAACAAATTAAAAAAAGAAAAAGAAAGAAAAAGCAAGCCAGAAAGAAAGAAGAATAAAAGTGGATTTTACATGCACTTACTTTTAGGTCAAAGTCCGTGATCGGAACTCAAGTTTCTCTCTCAACCCATGTTGAGCAACTCATTCTTCCCCAGCGCCCACCCCCTACTTCCGTGCGGTGGCTCAACCCCTAGAGCGTGGGCATGGAACCGGGTTAGTCCACCTGCAGCCGACCCCGTGAGTGGGCAGGGCCAGGTCGACTCGAAGTTGGCAATGGTTGTTGAGAAAGCGAAGTGTTGTTGCTCCATGTTGTGTCTTCGCACGGCTTCCTTGCCTCGTTGGCACCTAAACTTCCACCTGGCACTCCTGACTCAGCATCGTCGATGTTCTAGTTCTCTTTGAAACCTTCCGTTCCCTACGGTTCCCATTCTCTTCTCCCACACACCCACTTACCCACTGCGTGTGACGGGGGTTCCAGAATAAAGCAAATCTGGGGCCATGTAACTGGCCTGGACTCCTCGAAACACAGAGCCATTTGACACCCGTGTGACACCTATTTGACACCCATTTGTTAGAAACTTTCAATTCATTTAGGGGTGGACCCCCCCAACTCCCTCACTCTTCGAACATGACTAATGCACATGCACATTTTAGTTCTGTGATAAATTTGGAAAATTTCATGTCAATAATTCTAAATCCCTCAAGTAGAAAATATTGTGCCCATTATTATTTTGAATTTGTAGTATAGTAAATGTCATGTTGTGTTTGGTACAAAAGATTTTTTTTTTTTTTAAACAAGGATGGTTTTTCTCTGAATGGAACTTTATTAAAAAAATATCTTGAATTTGATGTATTTTTTGTTATGTTTTAGCTTTTGCTAATTCAAAATAGATTATGCATTATAAGTTTTGATTAGGTTTCTTTTAATACTTAAGATTTAAAATGTTAACTGAATTCTAGATAGAACAACATGTTGCCAAATGTGAAGATTTTTATAGAAGAGAACTTAGTGATATCAAAAAACAATGAGACATACAAAAGCTGGTATAATTTATTATTGAAAAAATTACAATATATATATATATATATATATATATATATGTGTGTGTATGTTTGATATCTACTTCATAATCAATGTCTAATTAAAAAAATACTTTTACATTCTATAAAATGATATCAAATATAATGAGTTTTAAAAAAAATATATTTATGAGGAAAAAATCAAATTGTATAACATTCTCTCTTTATATATATATATATATATATATATATATACATATTATTAGTTGAATCCCTATAATTGTCAAAAATAACCCAACTTTAAAGAAATATTTTTTCAAAAACATGTTTGTGAGCCAAAAAATATTTTTCATTTTTTTTTAAAAAGCAAAGAATTAAAATATAGAATGAAACTTTTAGCTACAAAGGGGATTATGTCATATATATATATATATATATATATATATATATATATATATATTCTAATAATTACTTATTTGATTAGGTAGAAGTAGGTAAAAGAAGATTAATTTCATAATATCTTCTAGATAAGCTTCTTAAAAGCTTTATAGATGCTTTTTTGACTTTACACATATTTGTAATTAATTGATAGGTTAGAAAATTAGTTAACAAATTATTAATATATGATACATATTAGTAGCTTGTTCCACAAGCTAATTATGTGATTTACTTATAGGAAACTTGCCTTGCAAGTTAAAACATGTATTTAGCAAAGTCAATATGTGTTGGAGTTCTTATTGAACATTGCCATATAACTCCTAATTAGATAGTATATGTAGAAGCAAGAATGAAGCTTTTTTTACTCTTGTCAATGCCTTTCTAGTCCTTAGTCTTGTTTTAAGATATTTTGGTCTTATTATCTTTGACAATAGCCATTCTAATTCAATATATTATCATCTTTGAGTAATTTCTTAGTCTTTTTAAGTGACACAAGGGTATATTGAAGATTTCTTTTTTCAAAATTCATGTCTTTGATATGCTACTCTATAATAGAATGTAGTTCCTTTATTGAAAAAAAAAACTTATACTAACTCCATAATCTTTCAAATTTCTACTATTCAACAATTTTTTTCTTATTTAAAATGTTTGTGGTAGTAAGAACAATCACTTTGAGCTTCCTTACACAAGTTAATAAATTTCCTATAAAACAATAGTAAAGTTTATATAATTGCTATTTTATCCACTTTGATCTAAAGAAAATTTTAAGAATGATATTTTCATTAGCTTTGCAAATGTTTGTAATCAATACTCTTACAACCTAATAAAATAAGCCTTTGCTATATTGTAGCTTTGCAAGCTTCAGCTCATATTTATAAGTTATAAGTAATATATAATTTTTAATTATTAACAATGCCTACTATAATTCTATGCCATATCATTGACAATTGAGAATCAAACTTTTTTTTAGACTTGCAATGTGAATAAAATAAATTAGTCAGATGACAATCCATCCTTGTAGATATCCAAAAACTTAAATTCAACTTTATGCAATGATTTGCAATGTAATAACTTGTATTCTTTTGGCATATGTTTTCTCATTGGATAATTGTGTCTTAATTGGACAATTTTAAAAATAATTCATGTATTCTAAAATAGAGCCAAAAATCGAGGTAGTAGTAAGAAAGCTTTTTTTTTAATGCAATTTCTACAAGATGTAGCAGAGAAAGTTGTAATAATTGCTTTGATGTATGTAACAACTTTACAACTTTGAATCTTATCTAAAAAATTCAATATAAAAATTCTACATCAATACAAAAAACACCTCTCATCAAGCCGTTCAACTAATTTTTGCAAATTATCTTTCACATTCTCAAAACAACATTGGTTAACAATTGATTCAATTCTTCCACACGCACATATGACAACCTTAAATATGAATGTTCATATATATATATATATACAAATTTTTAATGAGTAATTCTAAATTATTATATTTAAAATGAAAGAATTATCTATCAATAAATTAATTAATAATTAATTTATGTTGTATATATTAATTTACTTAAACAATAAAAGCCTTATTGAAGCTTAGTTTTAAGATTTC